CACTTTTATCCAGTAATTATTACGTAACTCAAATATTGAAAATACTTCAATTACCATATCATAAAGTTTAGTTTAAGTACACTTTTAAAGTTCTTCATTTTTTTGAGTTTCTATTACATTATATTTTTACATTTTTTATGAAGCATCAAATAATTAACATTATTTGGGAAAACCAATTAATCACATATGACATTTTATTAATAAAAGTGTATCATTGAATATATTTGATTTGCTTCAACGGATTTGCAGACAAATCCTCAGATTGATTTTGGGTCAGATAAAAAAAAAGATCGTGTACAATAATTAGCTCCAAATAAAAGTAATAAGATAAAAAAAAAAGTATGATTTTACGTATTTCAGCTGTGCTTATCGAATAATATGAAGCAATTATCGGCTGCCGCACATTGACTTATTTAGGTGGAAGGATTTGCCTGTTTGCTGTATTTTGTTATACTCGCCGACTACTCGTGATCCAGGTATTTTTTTTATCTGTACAAATGACAGCATATGCGGAGTGATTATACAATGTACATGATGAAACACAAACAGAGAAAAAATAGCATGGCGACAGAAAGAGGAGAGGCAAACAATCTACGTGGAATTATCAGTGGGTCAGCATCGGGGAAACCGTTTGAAGCATAATACGTGTATGTGTTTTGTGTGCGTGTATAAATGTGTGCTGCATGTGTATATATAAGGGAGGGGAAAATCAGAATGCTTAGACTGAATATGATGCCATATGGCCACTCTTCAGGCCGTCACTTAATTACGATGTGATTTTCATTCTTCCTCTCGCCCCACATTTTGCTGCTCGGCTATCTTCACGCGCCGTTGCCTTCATTTGATAAAGCCATTTAAATCACTGTGAAGAGGAATTAGCACACTCACACCCGCACTCGACTAATTTTGCATCTCATTAACTCACAGATCATTTCGTCCCCTGATTGCCACCTCCGCCTCCTTCCTTCCTCAATATGTAAATTCTAATTGGGCTATTACCATTACAAGTTTTTTTTTTATTATATCATCTTACGTTTATTTACAATTTATGATTACCATTTTTTTCAATATTTATTGAAAAATGTCCGTTACCAATTTCTCACTCACTAATAATGTACGAAAATGCTGCTAATCAACGTATGGTGTTAAAATCCAAAGGAAAACACATTTTGTGACTGAAAACTTTAGATATATTATTTTTCGAATCATAAGATGTTTTTTGAAGTACCGACTTTTAATATAAATGTAAATCTTTCAAAATTCAATTGATCCAATATTTAAATTGTAATAATTGTTATTAATATAATAATAGAATACGTTTATCGACCAGAATTTGCTATTTTTGACTTCATTTTGAATATAACACCTCAATCACAAGTCATACTTATTGTAAGTATGACTAATAAAACAACAACTTTAATGCAATATTCGACTTTATTCATCAAAATAGTCTCCTTCGAGATTGATACGTACATTCCAACAATTCGATACGCTTCAGTTTCGGCAATCAGTTCTTCATTGTAGCTAAATCTTTATCAATTGGCATTCTTTTTAGGTCTGCATTGTCTTGGAGAACGAGCATTGTCTTCATTTGTAGTCGATTTTTTGCAATTTCTTCCTTCAAACGCACAAATAACACCATATAATATTCGCTATTGGCTAACTTGTCTATTCATGGTATCGTCTTTACTACCTACAGGATGAACGCATATTTAAGAATGTAAAAAAAGATGTTTTTGTTTCGAAATACTAAGTTTGTTTGACTTGTTGTCCAACCCGGATACATTACTACTCGTCAGTAATTTACTCGAGTACCAAAATCGACGTTTATCGAACAAATATAACAAATAATGTAAGTTAATTAATTAAAAATCATGTGTAAATGTACAAATTATATAATAATATATAATGTCAATTAAATAAATATATTTATTATTATTATTACATTTATCACAAAACAAGTAACGTAACTTACGTTGTCTTTCTTTTTTTACCGAGCAGTTTGCCATTTGGAATAGAGACATGCAATTACGGTGTTCCAGTGGAAAATTATTGTCTGTGGTGCCCGGAAATAATTAATAAATCATTTTAATAGAGGAATTGGAATTGTCGCGCGCTCCTCAATAATGTAGAAACCAATCAGAAACATCGTGACATTTCGTGTTTCCTAGGTATGTATGTGTGTGTCTACGACGCCCATTCGTCATCCGAATCGGTTATGCACGTCCGGACTGAATACATCGAAACTATAAACTTTCAAAATAAATAATCATTCGAAATGCAAATAAGGGCTCAAGAGGAAGAAACATCCAGGAAATACTAAACTGTAATCTGATAGGTATAAGATTTACTTATCTAAATCAAAATAAATTTGTATTAACATTTCAAGTTATATTAATTATAAAATAATTAAAGATTGTAAAGATAAAAAAACAATTATTGATGTATATAAATTTAGTTCGTTTAATCCTAGTTAAAATATCTTCTTATTTATTCATAGTTCAATCGTCCTTTTTATTTGAGACATTTACTTGTAGGTATTTCATTATATAATTCTTTCATAATTGCATCACTTTTTTTTTAGTTCATAAATAATTAATTGCTTATTTTAAATATATATGTATACAATATTCACGTTGCATAACAATTTGCATCATCAAGTAGAATGTGTAGTAGATGTGGATTATAGTGGTGTCAGGAGGCTTCGAGTAAAGTAAAGTAGAAAAATTGATTTCTACTCTCAGCCTATTACTGGTCCTATTGTCGCGTCAAATTCGCAAAATTGAATACGAATTGGATTTCTGCTGTTCTCTCTTTCTCGCACACATACTATCTTTTCTTTGCTGTAAGTTGAATGAGATTTTTCAGAGAAACCGTGAATAAAGCAGAAAGTACGTCTTTCTGAAATAGCTAAAGAATATTGAGGATTTACCTTATATATAATGTGTAGTCTATATATATATATACCTCGCATTTCCTCCCGTACCACTGAGGTTTAGCTATTTGAGGGGTGTGGAACATGGAACGCGTCAATGGTTTAATATCGACGTGTACATAGCATTCCGCCGTTTGACAATTAAGGTATGAATTCCAGAAGTCATTAAACGCTCGCAACGTTTAATTTCATTTTATGAATTTCATCGGTAATTGTTCACCTACAAATATTATCTATGCAGTCAAGCGCGGCATCTATAGCTGCGTTTCTGTATTTTAATTATGACTACTATATACTATTATATTATTTCTTAATTGTATTATAATGAAAGCTTAAACTTTTAGCAACTATTTTAAAATGCATCTATTACTTGAAGTTTTATCATCAAAATAGTTATGTATATCAACGCTTCTTGCAAAGCTAATTTCACCAGTTGCTCACTTAGATATAAGGTGACAGCTTTAGGGTCAGAACTCAATTAATTTACAAATATTCGCACTAATGTATATTGATTATATTTGGATCTACAAGGGAATTTACAATATGTATATTTATATGAAGACGTTATAATAGTGTTCGTTCCCATGATACAAATATAAATATTCATGTATATTTGTACGTTCATGCGAAGAAAGAACCAACAAAATCATAAATGCATTAATTTATCTACTAATTATTTTATGCACATATTATGTAAGTTAATTGTATTGTACTTTATTATTTTCTTGACATCTAAAAAAACACACATCTAAAGATAAGTTGTAATTATATAGAACTTTAATTACGTATCAATTTTTCGCTCAATATTTTCATTTAGTGATCATCTTTGACATATCTGAAATAAATCATTTTAACTTTATTTAACATAGTTGACAAATCAAAATTTAATAAATATTACATTTTTCTTGTAAAGTTTATTTGAAATTTATATAAAAACGTAATGCAAATGATGTTAAACATCGTGAAATAAATATGAAGAAAGAAGCAATAAAATTTCATCGCGATGGAAGTGCCGGAGATGGAATGGGGAAGGAAGACTTCGTGAATAATTGAATTGCTCAATTACATTCACATAGATATGGAGTGGGAGGACGGATGTTTAATTATTGCCATTGAAACTGTAATTTCTAGTTGAATGTAAGTTTCAAGTTGATTCGGCTGTTCGTGCCACCTATCTATAAAGATCCAATTAGCCGTATTTAACTAATTGATAAACGTAATTTACTTCTTGTATTTCACGAAGCGGCCCTACTAATTTTCGAACGCGAAATTTAATTTACATTGCTACATCGTATAATTATCTAATAATAACTGAATACATTTATGAATAGATGATTTAAAAGATGCATGTTATATTATTATACTTTTGCTTCTATACATTCTGATAATATTTATTTAATTCGTTTATTTAAAAAATACATTTGGAAACATTTTTTTTTAATTTTAAATTAATGTTCTTGAAAAATATATTATGGGTATTAGCTATTAGAAACTTCAAAAAACAGGCATTTTTTAGATAACCATTGATAATTAGATATTGAATAATGAAATTTGAAAAAATAATTGAGTTTAAAACTTTGAATAATGTAACCTAAAATATTGAGATCTAATCAAACAACTAACAAAACTTAACGTTAATAAGTTTTGTTAATGTTAAGTGAATAACGTATGTACTTAATGCACATAATCTCTTCAGTTTTAAAATGGTTTCAGCATTCGTCAATTAAAGCAATTTATTTAAAATTCTATTGAACAATTTATTTATTAAAAGATCAGTTTTTAATAGAAATACAGTGGAACCTCGCTTAACGATCGACGTTTCGCATATCGAGTGACGATGAGATGAGAAGTCCAGGATTGCGCGCCTGCAACATCATTTTTAAAACTTATGTACACATATTATGTGTATTTCTTAATGTTTCACTATACGAGTAAAAATTCATTAATTTTGGAACGAATTAAACTCGTTAAGCGAGGTTCAACTGTATTTAAAAGGTATAAATATAAATAAAAAGGTATGAAGAACATTAAATTATTTTTTTTATTTTATAAATATATCTGTACATTTACCTTAATAATATAAAATTAGAACATATATAAATAGTTTAACATTTTCATAAGTATTAACCAGCTACCAATTGCCAAACAGTTTCTTCTTCGAATCTTTCTTTCCAACAGCGGGACTGAAATTCTCCAAACGAATTTTCTTTATAGCCGTCGGTGTTTCTCCAGCTGGGGCCTTCCGCTTTTTAACCTGAAAACCATAAATATATTATTACAGAGATTTATACCGTAATGGTTAATATCTTACGGCTTCATCGGGATCATTATTCACAGTTTGAAATACAAAATTCCTCGAGTTCTTCGCACCGCCCGTTACTGGATTAGAGACTTTTGTGTATTCCGCTACTCTGGCCAAAACCTGCGCGCCTCTGCTCAAAAACGATCCTCGTTGATTCTAAAATAATAAAACTTAAAACAAGGTTCAATTTGATCAATTATTAGTTATACCAATAAGGAATAGGGTTGCTTCACTTTAACTTTATCATTCTCTTTCACTTGTAGCATCGATTTATTTTGATTTCGAATGATTGCCTTTTGTCCCAGTTTAAGCACTTGACTGTTCAATGTTACATCAGATTCTTTAGAAGATCCTTGTGAATTTTGCGACTAGAATATGTAATTTAATATTAACAATTTATTTTCATAATGGCGCATTATACTTACATTTCTTAAAAACACTTCTCTTTCGTAACGTTTCTTTCTCCACTGCTCCTCATTTTCTTCATCTTCGTCAATTGTAGCATCTTCGTTATTGGCTTCTTTTTCGGCGTTTTCATCACCCGTTTGATTATCTACAAATAAATGGTATTAATGTAACAATCCAAAATCTATCTTTACTATATTTCTACCTATATTTTTCCACCTAAATTGCCTTTGACGACCTGTTCCTTGCAATTCGCCATCCTCCAAAAGCATTTCTTGTAATATCTTCACTTCACGATTATCATCATCCAGCATTCGGCGCCTAAAATAACATTGTATTAAATCTTTGAATTTCTTAAACAATAACCAAATTACATGTGAATTTTCTCAAGATCGCTTCGAACTTTGTTTTCATCGAATTTCTCTTTATCCCCTAGTTCCAATTCAAACTGATCTAAATCCTTCTCATCTTCATCTGCACTTCCCCACTCGGACTCCGACAACTCAGCTTCGTTTTCGAAGAAATCTGACGTCTTCATTTTTTTCTTTGGTTCATCTAAACAAAAAAAAATCAATGTAAGTATAAAGAAAATAAACATTTAATTATCTACATACCTTTAGTCCTTTCAACTTCAATTTCATTTTCTTCAGAATCGTATTCCACTTCGATGTCTTCATTATCAACTTCATCGTGAAGATCAATGCATTCCTCCTCGTTACCCACATCTTCCTCATCATCATCGTCATCTTCTAAAAAATTTAAATGATAGAAACCAATAATTCCAAAGCGTCGTCAGTACCTGAATCCACAATTGCTTTCGTTTTCCGCTTCTTCAATTTCTTCTTTCTCTTCCCTAACGTATCGTCATCTTCCTCCTCATTTTCCTCTTCAGTTTCATTAAAATAATTTTTTGCTGCTTGACTTTTTTCTGGTGAATTCAATTTCCTCTTAAACTGCTCCATTTCCTCTTCGTCGAGCAACTGGGATATAAATTTATCTTCGTTGTCATCTCCCAAATTCTTAATTTCTTTATTTACACCAAGGGTAATAGTCTCAACAGTAGATGGCTTTTCGTTACTACTTTCAATCTTAGTAGCACCATCAACTATCTGTGTAGCACCGGTAAACTTTCCAGAACATAACTCCATCAATTCTTGAGTTGATGCAACTTCAACGATTGGCTCAGTTTCCGTTGATTCTATATGAGTAGCCTTCTCTGTAACCTGCTGAGTTTGGGTAGCAATGAATTTGCCTGAACATATTGTGGCCAATTCCTCAATACTATCTTGCGTTTGGTGGCTTTCGGGTTCGATGAATAGTTTTTTGTGCCAATTGATGGACTTTAATGGGGACGGTTCTAGCAGTTTTATAGCTGGCGATCCAGGGGAATCAATGGCGAGTTTTGAATCGAAATTCTGTAAGCAAGTCATACGATTGACAGGCGTCAGAAAACCAAAATCTGCTTTCGGTGGAATTTTTGGCCTGATTGGAGTTTTTAGGTTGTTGTTGGGTTGAGCTGCTGGTGGACTGTCATCATCGTCGTTACCTAGAGATTTAGTATTTTTAAATAATTTTAATTCTTAAAAGATTCTATACTCACAGACAGGTGGTGAAATAGCTGCGGTTTTTTCAATAATTTCTTCTGCCACCTCTTCATCAGAATCGTCACCAAACGGTTTTATAATTCTCTTTAGAGGCTTCTTTTCACCCTCGTCCGTTTGCAACTCTTCATCAGAGCTCTCATCTTCCTCACTTTCTTCAACTGGATCACTTTCTTCAGCCTAATAATAAATGTTGTAATACGTGTATAAAATATAAGTTATTTTCATCACCTCTTCTTCAAAGAATTCTGATTTGGTTACATCCTTTTTAGCTTCTTTAGCTAAAGCTTCCTCCTCGTCCTCATCTTCCGTTTCAGTCAACTCCTCTTCCTCGTCGTCATCCAAAATGTCATCATCTGCCCCACAGCTATCTCTCTCTCCTAAAAACACTAACGTATATAAACCGTTGTAATGTAATTCATATAATTTATACCTTCGTACGTATCCATATCTTCATCTTTTGTAGGCGGTTTTACCCTTTGCTTCCACATCTCGGCCCGTTTCTGTGCCATTTGAATCTGTAAATCATTCCTAAGCTTCTCCATTCGGACTCCAGGTCGTTCATTAATCTCAGGTTCGTCAGGTCCATCTATTTTCACAGCCAATTTTTCTTTGTGTATATCACCATCACCGGAAACGCTCGTAATACTGCAATCACATTATTTAATATTTATAATTAAGTTTACTCATTAGTTGAAATATTATTTACTTCAGTTGAATTTTGTGTTTCTGAGGCGTTTTCTTGCAGGCGTGCCTTGCAAATCGTTCCATCAATAGAGATACATCGTCTGGTCGAGTTATACCCTCGTCCAAATCAATTACCGAATTAGGTCCACCGCTTAAGCAAGGTGTAATGTTAGCAAATTGTTGCTTCAACAAATCCTTATTCATTGCCTTTTCTACAACCATTTCTTCATTTTCTTTACATATTTCGTTTTCGTTCATTGCACATTCAACATTGTCCATATCATCATCACATGCATCATCTATGTTAAACACAAGTTCCATAGAATTTGAACTCCCTGATGAATTATTCAAATTATCATCTTTTGATTCACTAGTATTTACTGCCATTTGATCCTCTGTTAGAATTACATTAGTCTCCACTTGGTTATTTTCTGTAATCTTAAGAGCTTCTTCAGTATCCATAACAACAGGTATTTCAACAGGTGCACTTTCTTCATTATCTTGATTTTCAACTGTAATTATCTCCAATGATTTTACTTCACTATTCTCATTCAATTCCATTTCTGCTTTATCTCCATCAACTTTATCACAATCTTTCTTTGTTTCAATTACTTCCTCATCATCCTCTTCTTCACTTTCAGACTTGAAGAACTCTTCAACTTCTTTTTCTCGCTCTTTCAGATTTTTCCTAAATACAATTAAATTTTTATTAAAAGGAAAAAACTTCATTGAGAAAACTTACGAAACAATTTTAAGCTGTTCTTCTGTCATTTTAATAGCCACAGATGCAGATTTGTGGATTGCTTCTTTTGGAACAGCACTAGCAAATCTTTTCCTAAATTTCATAAACTCCTTTAAAGTTCTTTGTTTTGGTACATGGTATGGTAATGAAACATGTTTTTCTCTAACTCTTCTTTGTGAATCTGACTCTATTTCTTTTCTCTGTTCTGCAGCTTCCTTTGCAGTCATCTGAAAATTAAATAAATATTATATACAAATTAAAATTTCGTTTTAATTAATTACTTTTTTTGGCTCCAACTCAGAATCCTTCTTCTTGGGTTTCTTTTTGTACTTAATAGGTTCTACATTCTCAGAAGTATAATTACTTATGTCTCTGTTATCAATCTCTTCTTCTGATTCAGAATCACAGAGGTTGGTCAAGGCAATTTTCTAAAATTAAATGATTTAATAAATATTTCTAAACTTTACATTAAAAAAAATCTTACATGTTTGAAATCACCTTCTGGTACCAGTTCTCCTTTATTATTAATATCGTATACTTTAGAATCATTGCTCTGCTGACATTCACCTGCTTCATTTTTATGTGTTTCTTCAATATTAAGTTCATCTTTATCACCCTCATATTCACTATCACTGTCAACAATTCTTAGTTTCTTTGGTTTAATTATAATTGAACTATCTTCTCTTTCATTTAAAGAATTTTCTAAACCCCCTTCCTCTCTATCATTAGCAATAACTGGAGGAGATGTTTTCTTATTAATTTCAAAATCATCACTGTTTTCTACTGCTGTAATTTTGTTACAATCAATCACTTGCAAAACTGTAATTTGTTTATTATTACGTATTTTGCTTGGACTAACATCATGTTCTTCATTCATCATTTTGCTTTCTTGCACAATTTCGTTATCGTTTGTTCCACAAATATCATTAATTTGCACAACTGTTCTTAACTCTGTTTCTTCTAACATTTTACAGTCTTATCATTTAAAATTAAATAAATGCAATTGATTGTATTAAACTGTTGACCACAAAATATACTTTCTTGAAGACTAAAAACACAGGTTAAGTTAAAAACCCGCCAGAATTGAAAATAATGAGCGCCATCTTCTATATAATAGCACAAGTTTTATAGAATTACATAATTTTTAAATTACAGATGGGGATTCCCCTGATTAATATGTAAAGACATTGTATTAGTAAAATTTAAAACAAATATATATTTAATTAATTAAGCTTTTTTACGACAAGTATTTAACATAGAGCAATTTTAATGTTAACAGCACTATTTTTAGCGTATTTCAAATGCTTATCGACCAGCATACAATGATTACGATAACTTTAGTCCCTGGGTTAACACTGAAGGTTCTGTTTGATCGAGTTTTAAATTACTTAATTACCCAATTTAACCAAGTTTCTGTTAGTTGTGTTAATTTTTGTCTCCGAAGACAACACCTTGAGAAAAAGTAAATCTACTTACCTTTCAGAATGTAAATAATTCTAGACAATGCATTCTGATTTTCTGATGTTCGAAAGACGAAAAATCTTGAATTATTTGTATTTAATGAAAGCTTAAATGTTCACAAAAAATATTGCTATGCTGTAACAAAAATATAACTATTTCGATTCAACTGAATGTATTAATATATCATTTTAATATTGATGTACATGAACTGTTTTTAACTCAATTTACGTCACATGTATGTAATGCATCGATTTGGGAACATCCTTCAACGTAACTTCGAAGATGAAAATAACTTTACCAATAAAACTATCAATTCTATTATCCATATGATAAAATTTAGTATTGGAAAATATAATTCCAAGAATTTTATTCAATAACAAAGTTCGTTCTTAGAGCAACTTAGGCCACTTGTACTACAAAAAATTCATATATTTAACTTTACTCTGTTTATTTACGTATATCACGTCGAACAACGTTATTTTAATTTGAAAGTATACAATAATCAAGCAATTTTCAGCGGTATTTGAAACATTCTATCGAGTAAGTTAAAAATGGGTTTCGTTAATTTTGGCGTTTTGCGTCAATTTGATGCTAAATATAAAAACAGTCGGTTTGGTAGATGAACGCGTCTCCGTCGATGATTAAAATTGCACGAAGTGACGCACACGAAAATTATAACAATAAATAAATAAACGTCCGGAAAGGAATAGAAAATAATTGCATGCGTATGTGGATGACCTCTTGAAGGTCTAGCATTTTGAGTCGTCCCCATGGGAAAAATCAATATGGGAAACAATGTGTTTGGATTCGGTTGTTATGGAAAAACTATTGATCACCGGTGTGACTATGCACAGTCAACATGATTTTTGTTACAAACAAATTCCGTTGCATGTTATTCATTCATTCGGAATTCGGTTGCTGTGCATTATAGATGTAATTGGGTGAAGAGAATTTTATAGTTTCATATTTTTTTTTTAATTAAGGGAGTGCGAGAAACTTTCGAAGGTGTTTTTCACCTCGAGTCACGGAAAGTTCTTCGATCGAAATCATTCGGAGAACGTTACCTTTGCCAGTCTCACGCAGTTTGTGCTTGCGATCACAACCAAAATGCAGGTGGCAACGACGATCGATGGAGACAATGGAATGGTGGTGAAGAGGTTGAGTGTTCCTCTTGGTTTGGAGGAGCTGATGGAGAGTTTAACTAAGCAAGTTCTCTTGAAGCAACCCAAAGATATTTACAGTTTTGCATCGGATCATTTCACCCAATTGCTTCAAATACGCGACAAAGCTGAAACTGGAGGTAAGTAATTTATTGTTCTCATTGAAGAAGGTACCAGTATAATATTGCAGATAAAAAACCGGTTAATGGAAAAGTTAAAATACGATCGGCGACTGTAGCCACAAAATTCAATAAGCTCCCAACTCCGATTATATTCACGAATTCCAAAACGTCTTCGAAGCCGAAGACTCCAAAGGCATTCTCTTCGACCCCTATCAAAAATAGATATGAAACTTCACCGAGAATGGAGAAAGTTAAGTCCTCATCATCAGAGGCTTCACAGACGAACAGCGCGAAACAGAGCAGATCAAGCAGGGCACGTTGGATGAAGCAGGATACCGCAGTGAAGAAATCACTCTTGCCCAAGGACATCGAAAATATAAATCTCGATGTGAGCAAAAAAACCATCCGCGAAAATTACAAATCTAGAAAACCATTGAATAAACCTAAACCTAAAGAAGATGTGATTAAGGAACCGGTGATGAAGAGATCGATTTCCAAAGACAAAAATAATAAGATGAAATCAAGGGTCGTTACAACTCCTTCCACGGATGACAAAATATCGATTAATGGATCACAAGTTGGATTGAATAATAAGTTCAATAAAAAGAAGGTAGCTGGAGCTGCTGCAGCAGCTGTTGCCACAGTAACTACAGCTGGAGTTGCTAAGAAACAGATTGATGCTTCTAAAATGAATAAATCTAAGCTGATTAAGGATGATGCTGTTGATAGTGATTTCGTCGATGGAGATCATAAGGAGAGCGTGGTGATTGAGAATTTGAATTATGTTAATCAGGAAGATATACATGAAAATAATGATATTCCACAAAACAAAGTGAAGAAAACTGATGGTGATTCTGTTATAGAAAATGCTAAAGAATCTAAACCAGAAGAAACTGAAAATATTAAAGCAGAACAAGTAAAAGATGATAATATTCCAGAAGATGAAAATGAAAAGAAAGTGGATGAAGATAAATTGACAGAAGAATCAATGAACGATAGTAAACCTGAAGAAAATGTTAATAAAACTAAGTCTGAGGAATTTGAAAAAGATGAAACTAAACATTCTAATGAATTAAATAATGAAGATAAGATAGGAATTCAAAAAATGAATGAAGATAAAATCGAAGATAAGGAATCTTGTCAGGATATACCAAGCAATGAAGAATCATTAAACTTAACTGAAGTTATTAAAGTAGATGGAAATGAGAAACACAATGAAGATTCCAATATTAATCAACTTCAAAACGAAGAAGTTAAATCAAAAGAAGAAGATGATAAGTCTAAAAAAGAAGAAAGTATTGTATCTGAAATAAAAGGTACTCTTAATGAAGATTTGAGAACCAATGAAAAGAATGAAGAAAGTAACACAAATCAAGAAGATAAGGAGAAAATAGATGCATTAAATCAGGAACAAACTGAAGAATCAAAAGTTCAAGAAAATGAAATATCAGAGAAGGAATTAATTGAAGATTCTAAGCTCAAAGAAAATCTAGACGAGGAACTGAAATCTGATAATAAGAAAGAAGAGAGTAATATAAATCAAGACAAAGTAAACAGCATTGACAACAAAGAAAATGTAGTAATTGAAGATTCGGAAACAAAAGAAGTCTCAAAGAAAGAAGAATTATCAAATGAGGAAGAAACTAAAGAATTAAAAGTACAAGAAATTGAAAAGGAAGATATTCAATCAAAAGAGGAATCTGGCTATACTACTAAAGTAGAATCTAAAGTAGATCAGGTTCAAAATGAAGAATTGAAATCGAATGATGAGACAAAATCTAATTCAAATGAATTAAACAAGGAATATAGTCAAGAAGATATGAATGATAAAGAAAAGGAAGATTCTAAATCAAATGAGATTCAAAATGTTGGTTTGACACTTAAAAAAGAATCTAATAATTTGAAAATAGAGGAAAGAAACGGAACTCCTGAGACTTTAATATCAAGTAACGAAAAAGAAGAATCTAATAATTTATCAAGTGATAATAATGGAACAAATCATGAGGTTTCTGGAAATAATAATAAGGATAATTTAGCAACATTTAATATAGATCAACCTACTGTAGAAAATGAAGTATCTGTTGACAAGGAACCAATAAATGGTAATGATAATACAGCACCGATTACTATAGTAATTTCCAGTGATGATGATGATGATGATAATAAAGACTCAAGTAAATCAAATTTGCAAAACGAAGATGAGAAAGAGCATAATCTTGATTTAGTGAGTGCAAATACAGAAAAAGTTGACACAAATACAGATAAATCAGATGGAATAAAACAATCTGAAGATATATCTAAAGATGAGTTAATTAAGAATACGTTATTGGCAGATACGACTGAAAATTTAAAATTGGAGGAAGATGAAAGAATCAAAGATGTATTGTTAGGTCAAGATCATATAACGAGTGGAGAAAAGAAAGTAGTAGATAATGAAGAATTGAAGACACCTATCGATGATGCAGGTCCATTACATTTAGAAGATGTAAGTAAATATTTATCGAATCGAAGTGAAAATGTCGATTCTGATGAAGCAAAAGAGAATCAATCGAAAGTAGATAATGCAGAAGAAGAAAATGATACCAATAAATCCGCTGAACAATCTTTAGAAGAAAGTCATGAAACAGATGAAGTAAAGGATAATTCTGCTATTGCAGATGTGAAAAATGCGGATGAAATAAAGGAAAATAAAGATTTGTTAATAACTGAAAATAAAGAAAGTGAAAATGATTTTAATAGCAAAGAAAATGAAATGAAAGACATTACATCAGAAAAAGATGAATTAAAGGATAAATCTGATATCGCAGATATAAAAGATTCAATAAAAGAAAATAAAGAAATGTTAACAACTAAAGAAGAAGAAAGTGAAAATGATTTGAAATGCGAAGAAAATGAAGAGAGAATTCAATCAAAAGACAGTAATAATGAAGATCATAAAGTACGTCAAGAAAATTCGTTGGATAAAGAAATACCCACTGCGATTTCTGAAACACTAAAAGATATCAAAAATGATACAGATATTAATAATGAAGAAAAAGTAGAAACTTTGGAAAAAGAGGCACCTAATGCAGTATCTGAAGCAGTAAAAGATTTAAAAGATGATTTAAATGATATAGAACAGAAACATGAGAAATCTGCATTTGATGCATTGGCATTGACAAGAAGTTTCATGAGTCATGAAACTACGAATTACGTATCTGATTCTAATTACAATAATAAATCAAAAGATAGCTCTGACTTATCCAAAGAATCTAAGAACGTGATTGATGAAAATGTAGATTTACATAATAATGTAGAATCTGTAAACGCAAATAAACATGAAAACGCTGACCTAAATTCGTCAAACGGAAATGAGAGAGAAAAAGAAAAAGATTCAATTGATACAAAGGCCTTAACTAAAAGTCTGTTAACCAATGAAAATAAGCATGAATCGAAACCCAATGATTTTGATGTACACAAAAAGAGACCCAAGAAATTCAAAGAAGATACTGAAACTAAATCTACTTACATACCGTTAAGAGATTATTCAGAGGATAATACTGAAGATCAAGTCGATTCTATTACATCGACTGAAGAAAGTATAAAATCTGATATGTTTGGTCACAGCGTTCAACCGAATATACCAAAAACTGAAGAAATATCAGCAGCTACCAAAATCCAGTCAGTTTGGAGAGGACATTCCACAAGAAAATCAATGCAACCCTCAAAGGTAATAGTTTTATTTTGCAATGAAAATATTTTGTTATATATATATTTATTTTAGTCCCTGAAGTCTATTCAAGAACCTGCAGACTGCGACGAGTTGCCGCATCACCGTGGAATAGCGAATACAGTAAGTTTGAATCCTTTAAGTGAAGAAAATCAGTTATCCGACGAGCACGTTGCTAAGGCAATGGAACAATTGAATACCTTGGAGGTTCCAAGTGATGAACCAAAAGTTCGTGGGAAACGATCGATTGCGGACGATAGTTCGGACTCGTCGAAAAAGTCTATCATGAACAATATTTCGGAGAAAATGAGCGGAATTAAGAATTTTTTTCAGTCAGACAAAGATCATCCCGAAAAAGATCCAAAGAATAAAAGCAGTGAGAAAGAGACAGTGATTGGTGAATATAGGTCTTTAGAGGATGATGATTTATCTAAAGAACCATCGGATACAAATGTTGATTCAGATTTACCACTTCTTAAACATGATCAAACATTAGAAAATAAACATTCAAGTATAAATGATGAACCAGAACAACCTACTATTGATAATATAACAGAAACTGATTCTGAAAGTAATACAGAACCTCTGACTTACAATATTTTGCGCAATGATAAAGATTTAGATTCGATTGACAAGTTGTCAGAATCAGCTATGGTTTCTTCTACAGATAACATTAAGCAAGAACATGCTGTAAGTGTATCAGAAACACCTAATGAAGTAACATCTGGAACTAAAACAGAAGATTTATCAAAGAATAATGAAATAACAACACCAACATCAACTAATAATACAAACAAAGATAAAATCGAAGTTGATCCAGTAAATACAAAAAATAAAACTAAATCTGAGGAATTCATAGATAATTTACAACAATCTGTGGATTCAGAAATAATTTCCAAAAACGGTGATAAACCAGAAGATTCTAACGACATAAATAAAAATATATCAGGTTCTATAACTAATAAGAGTGAAATTATCAACTCTGTTAAATTAGTTGATGAAACTGTAAATGATCTAAAAGCTGATACTAAGCTATCATCTGATAAAAATATTAAAGATACTTCTTCAGACAAAGTAGTAAATAAGGAAAATGATACCAAAAGTTATAAATCTAAGGATAATATTGTTCAAGGAAAAGAAACTTCAGAAGCTTCGATAACAAATAAAAAAGTTAAAGAAATCACGATGGAACCTAAAGAAGATGACGAAATTAAATATAATTTACAAAGTGACCAATCAGATTTATCGATACACGATGAAAATATTAAATTGGAAGAAAATAATAAAAATGTTGAAACTAATAATTTGAAGACAACTGATAATAATTCTAAAGATAATTTAAAAGATCAAGAACATTCTATTCCAGTAAATATATCTAATAAAATGGTAAACAATGACAATCCAATACAAGAAAATAATAATTTAACAGACACTATATCCGAAGATAAATCTGAAAATGTGGAAGATCAAGAAAATGTTACTGCACCAACTATGTCTGATGATATTGTAAAAGTTCAAGGAAGTAATAATAATACCGAAGATTTAATTAAAGACAACAAAACTATTGAAACTAAATTGGAAGATGAACCTACTACTACAATTGAAGGAAACACTGAAACAACTGACAAATCCGATAATAATGATCTAATAATCAAAAATAAACCTTTAGAAAGTGAAAGTATTACTGATAATAATATACATGAAAACATTAAAGATGATCCTTCAATAAATAAAGAACTACTAATTAAAAATAAGTATGATGATTTGAAAACTGAAAAATCAGATAATAGTAATACAGAGAATGTATCAGATGATGCAACAATTGATAAATTACATAATAATGAAAGTGATGGTATGCTAGAAAAAGTTGAAGATCAGAGAGATGAAGTAGATTTATTAAAGACAAATGTCTCAAAAATTAATAAAGATGTAGAAACTAATGTTAATTTGAACGCTATGAAAGAGTCTGAAAATAAATCAGAAATTTTGCTTAATGATACATCTGCTGACGTAACTCCTCAGCAAACAGCAAGTCTTGAAACGCTCGCAACTGAAAATAAATTTGTAGAAAGTGAAAACGATAAATCCGTTAACATGTCAATTAGTAATGTTTCAGAAACAGAAAAGGAAGATTCCCCAGAAGATCCAACAAATGCTAAAGATGGGGAACATACAAATGCTATAAGTAACAACAGTGACGTTAAATTTGAAACTAATAATCAAGATAAAGATGCAAAGTTAAGTGAAAATAAGGAAATAAATGAAAACATATCTGAAGGTACACCGAATAATGAGGATCAAAAATCACAAGTTGATATTACAACTGGAAAATCTGATAAAACTGATAATGTTATATCTACTGAAGTCAATACACCAGAAGATGTAAATAATATTAATTCCGAAAATCTTAAAGAAGCGGAAATTAACAATAATCAAGATGAAATAGGAAATGATAAAATAAATAATACAGCTGAAACCACAAATGAAAATACTTCAGATGTATCAACTAATAGCAAAATGGAAAAAAATAAACTTGATGAAAATGTTTCAAACATTCATGAGGTTATTGATCATAAGACAAATAACTTAATAAATGAAGAAGTACATAATAATCAAACTGTAACAACTAATGATATAAAAAATGTCGAATTAGATATAAAACAAGATGCCTCTGAAAAAACATCTAATGATAAAAATAAAACAACAGATTTAATAAATGATGACGTAGAAAATAATACAACGGAAACGTCAATAGATAAATCTCCAGTTGTCTCATCTATAGAAACAAATAACAAATCAGATGATCTGCATAAAACTGATGAAGATGTTGGTAAAGGTAATTCTGGTGATGTTTTAATTAGTAATATTGTTGCTTCAGAGTATATTGAAAATAAGAATAATCGAGAAAAAGTTGAGAATAATACAAATGACTTAACAACTGGCGAATCGAAGAATAATCAAACGAAAGATGATGATTCTACGACAGAAAATAAATCAGAAATTTTACCTAGTGAAGAGAATGATAATGTTGAATTAAATCTAGAACAAAATGTGAAAACTTCTGAAAGTAAACCAGCAGATGTTTCTGATTCTCAAGAGATTATTCAGAATAAAACAAATGGCCCAACGCATGATAAAGTAGAAGACAATAAAACGGAATCATCGACAATTGATGATAAATCTGATGATAACAAAAAATCAGAAATTAAAAATGAGTCGGAAGATGCAAACAATGGTCACGTAGATGTTGTTAAAGAAATATCAACTATTGATAAAGCAAATGATGTAATAAATGACGAATTAAAAGATGATAAGTCTCATGATAAAACGGAAAATGGAATTAATAATGAAGCTTCTGAAGATAGTCCAAGTTATAAAATAAATGTTAATACTGAAGAGCAGAATGTTGAGTTAAATAACTTAACAGATAATAAAACTGAAATAAAAAGTATTCAAAATAGAACACATGAAAGTATTTCAGCAGTTCCGTCTGAAAATAAAGTTGAAGATAAATCAAGTGTTAATGCTGAAGACCAGAATATTAAGCCAAATGACTTACTGACTGATCAATCAAGTATGAACGATGCTTTAAATGAAAATATATCAGAAGTTGAGAGTCCTGATAAAATTGAAAATGATAAAAGCAGTCAAGAATCTGATGAAAAAGTTTCTGAAAGGAAATCTGAAGATAGTACACAAGATAAATCAAATGTTACTCCTCAACATCAGAATATTGAATCGAAGAAGTTAACGACTGATGAGATTGAAAATAATAAAATAGAGAAACCTGCTGATGTGATTAATGATGAATTGAAAATGAATTCTACAACACATGAAAACATTACAGCTGTTCCGCCTTACAGTGATAGTGAAAATGTGAAAACCAATAAAGATTCTGAAGTGGAGGTTTCTGAACATAATTCAAGTGATAAATCAAATGTTATTGCTCAAGAACAGAAGGTTGAGTCAAATAAATTAATAACTGATGAAGTTGAAAGTAATAAAAAGGAAGAATCTACACATATGATAAAAGATGATGTAAAAAGTGTAAGCGATATAAATGAAAATATTTTTGTAGATATAGCAGGAAATAATAAAATTAATGAACAATCCGAAGATCATGTTTCTGAAATGAAATCTGAAGATAGTTCAAGTAATATACCAAAAGATATTTCTCAAGACCAGACTGTTGAGTCAAATAACTTAACAACTGCTGAAGTTGAAAGTAATAAAGAAGAACTTACTGATGTGATAAAAGATGAAGTAAAAAGTGTAAGCGATACAACCAATGCAAATATTTCAGAAGATAAAACAGAAAATGATAAAATTAATGAAAAATCCGAAGATCACGTTTCTGAAAAGAAATCTGAAGATAGTTCAAGTGATAAACCAAAAGTTATTGCTGAAGAGCAGACTGTTGATTCTAATATCATAACAACTGCTGAAGATGAAAATAATCAGAAGGAAGAACCTACTGATGTGATAAATGATGAAGTGAAAAGTGTAAGCGATACAACCAATGCAAATATTTCAGAAGATATAACAGGAGATAATAAAATTAATGAAAAAACCGAAGATCACGTTTCTGAAAAGAAAACTGAAGATAGTTCAAGAGATAAACCAAAAGTTATTGCTCAAGAGCACACTGTTGAGTCAAATAACTTAGTAACTGCTGAAGATGAAAGTAATAAAAATGAAGATTCTACTGATGTGATAAAAGATGAAGTAAAAAGTGTAAGCGATACAACCAATGCAAATATTTCAGAAGATAAAACAGGAAATGATAAAACTAATGAAGAATCCAAAAATCACGTTTCTGAAAAGAAAACTGAAGATAGTTCAAGCGATAAACCAAAAGTTATTGCTGAAGAGCAGACTGTTGATTCTAATATCTTAACAAATGCTGAAGATGAAAATAATCAGAAGGAAGAACCTACTGATGTGATAAATGATGAAGTAAAAAGTGTAAGCGATACAACCAATGCAAATATTTCAGAAGATAAAAGAGGAAATGATAAAATTAATGAAAAATCCGAAGATCACGTTTCTGAAAAGAAATCAGATAGTTTAAGTGATAAACCAAAAGTTATTGCTCAAGAGCAGACTGTTGAGTCTAATAACTTAACAACTGCTGCAGATGAAAATAATCAGAAGGAAGAACCTACTGATGTGATAAATCATGAAGTAAAAAGTGTAAGAGATACAACCAATGCAAATATTTCAGCAGATATAACAGGAAATGATAAAACTAATGAAGAATCCGAAGATCACGTTTCTGAAAAGAAATCTGAAGATAGTTCAATTGATAAACCAAAAGTTATTGTTCAAGAGCAGACTGTTGAGTCAAATAACTTAACAACTGCTGAAGATGAATCTAATAAGAAGGAAGAACCTACTGATGTGATAAAAGATGAAGTAAAAAATGTAAGCGATACAACCAATGCAAATATGTCAGAAGATATAATAGGAAGAGCTAAAATTAATGAAGAATCTGAAGATCACGTTTCTGAAAAGAAATCTGAAGATAGTTCAAGCGATAAACCAAAAGTTATTGCTCAAGAGCACACTGTTGAGTCTAATAACTTAACAACTGCTGCAGATGAAAATAATCAGAAGGATGAACCTACTGATTTGATAAATGATGAAGTAAAAAGTGTAAGAGATACAACCAATGCAAATATTTCAGCAGATATAACAGGAAATGATAAAACTAATGAAGAATCCGAAGATCACGTTTCTGAAAAGAAATCTGAAGATAGTTCAATTGATAAACCAAAATTTATTGTTCAAGAGCAGACTGTTGAGTCAAATAACTTAACAACTGCTGAAGATGAATCTAATAAGAAGGTAGAACCTACTGATGTGAAAATAGATGAAGTAAAAAATGTAAACGATACAACCAATGCAAATATGTCAGAAGATATAATAGGAAGTGATAAAATTAATGAAAAATCCGAAGATCACGTTTCTGAAAAGAAATCTGAAGATAATTCAAGCGATAAACCAAAAGTTAATGCTCAAGAGCAGACTGTTGAGTCTAATAACTTAACAACTGCTGAAGATGAATGTAATAAGAAGGAAGAACTTACTGATGAGATAAAAGATGAAGTAAAAAGTGTAAGTGATAAAACCAATGCAAATATTTCACTAGATATAACAGGAAATGATAAAACTAATGAAGAATCTGAAGATCACGTTTCTGAAAAGAAATCTGAAGATAATTCAAGCGATAAACCAAAAGTTAATGCTCAAGAGCAGACTGTTGAGTCTAATAACTTAACAACTGCTGAAGATGAATCTAATAAGAAGGAAGAACCTACTGATGTGATAAATGATGAAGTAAAAAATGTAAGCGATACAACCAATGCAAATATGTCAGAAGATATAATAGGAAGTGATAAAATTAATGCAAAATCCGAAGATCACGTTTCTGAAAAGAAATCTGAAGATAATTCAAGCGATAAACCAAAAGTTATTGCTCAAGAGCAGAATATTATATCTGAAGACTTATCAAGTGATGAAGTTAAAAGTAATAAAAGTATGAATGATGCAACCAATGAAAATATTTCAGAATTTTCAAATAATGATAAAATTGAAGAATCTCAAGAAGTTTCAAGTAAAAAGTCTGAAGATAAATCACAAGACAATGTTGAGAATAAATCAAATGACTTAACAAACGATGAAGTTAAACCTGCTCATATTTCAAGTAGTAAATCGGAATTTCTGCTTAGCGATCAAACAGATGATGAAAAATTAAATCTTAAATCTGACGAGGATGCTGAAAAAAGTAATTCTGAAGATGTATTAAGCGGCAAATCGAACATTATTGCTCCAGATAATTTTGAGAATAACACAAATGATTTAACAATTGATGAAGTAAAAAATAATGAACAGGACAAAACGATAACAGATAAGTCTGTTAATGTATCGCAATTAAAAACTGAAAATATATCAGAACCTGATGTACAAGTAATTGACAGTAAAACTCAAGATATTTCAAGCATTAGTACTCAAGAGAATACAAAGAATACCGATAAAGATGAAATTAGTCAAATGAAATCAATAGATCAATCTGATGTGGTTTATTCATTAACAACAGAAAATGCTCAGGCGAAAAATAAGTCAAATGATTCAATGAAGAATTTAGTAGAAACTATTGAAAACGAAAATGTATTGACCGATGAATCTGTGGATCATAAGAAGGAAGTTGCTGAAAATAAAAATGATGATAGTTCAAATGATTTAGCAGGCGTTATTGTTGAAAAAAATATTAAGAGTAAGTCAATTGATTCGATAATTGATGAAGTAGAAAATAATCAAACATTTTCAACAGAAAAGTTAATAGATTTACCTACAGGAACAGAAGAACAAAAATCAGGTAATAACGATGATCTTAATAAAGAATTAAATGATAAATCAGATGATATGGAAAAAGATAAATTACCAAGTATAAGCGAATCAACTAATGAAAATGTATCAGAAGTTTTGGCCAATATGGATGTCTCTGATAAGAAATCTGAAGTTCTTGATACGTATTCTGCAGATTCTTCAAGCAACAAATCAAATATTGTTACTCAAGAAAGTGACGAGAATAAGTTAAATGATGAAGTTCAAAATAATGAAAAAGTCAAACCTAGCACAAGCACGAGTGATGCAACAAATGCAAATATATCAGATCTTCCGTCTGATGGTGAAAATGATAAAATTAATCAAAAATCTGAAGAAAAATGTTCTGAAAAGAAATCTGAAGATTGTACAAGCGATAAATCAAAAACTATTGATCAAGAGAATAAGTTAACAGGCGAAGTTACAGATCAGGTTAATAAAAATGAATCCGAATCAATTGACAAAAACGTGAAAACCAATGATAAATCAGACGATATAATAAATGACAATACAGATAACGTTAATGTATTAGAAAATGAACATAAATCAATTGATGATAAAGATAATAAAGAAGTAGAAAATGTGAAAGTTGAGAGCAATACAAATTCTGAAGATATTGACGTTGATAAATCATCTAATTTTTCAGCAAATAAGACAGAAACAAAACCTGAAGATGTAATTGATGATAAGTCAAGAAACCAGGAACATAACAATAATTTGGTGAGTGATGAAACGTGTAAAGATAAAGAACAGAAATCATCTAATATGACAACTGAAAAATATGAGAATGTTCATGAAGTAATGAAAGAAAATAAACCTAAAGATGTAATGATCGATAATTCATACGTTGAACATAAAAACAATGAGATTATTGACCCAGTTCATAAATTAGATAATAAACAAACAGATAAAAATATAGATTCTGCTATTAAACTTTTAGAAAAAGGACATAAAACTGAAGATGTAGAAGATATCATTGATAAATTGAATATTATTCCTGATTCTGCTGAGTATGTTCCAAATAATGGCATACATACAGATAATATAAATGACTCTAAAGATATTGCAAATAATATTCACAAATCTGATGATATAATAGAGGATAAATCAAATATTATTAATCAAGTGTCAGAAGAAAATAATCCTGGGAAAGAAATAAATGATCAAAGTGACTCTGTCAAAAAATCTGAATTTGGATGTATCACTGAAAATTCAGAAGTTTACAATGATATTATAGAAAATGCTAAAAATGAAGAAACTGATGGTACAGTGACTGAGGTAAAAGATACTGCAAAAGTAGAAGAGGAAAATAAATCTACTGGTGTGACTGAAGGAGTATTAAATCTATCACAAGATAAGTTAGCACATGATGAAGATGATCTAAATATCAAACAAGAAGAACATGTTGAAGTGAAAAATGAAAATAAATCTGAAGATTTAAAAATTAATGCATTGGATAGTGTTGAAGAACATGAAGATAACAATAATACGAGCAAGAAATTGAAAGATGATGATTCCATTGACTCAAATAATAAAGATGATAATTTCAAGAATGTTATAATTGATGAAAACAAGAATGGATTTAAAGTGGAAACTGAAAATACGAAATTGGTAAAGAATGATCCGTTGATTGACAAATCCGAGAAAGTAATAAAAAATATATCAGTTGACAAAGTTTCTACTGAGTCTGATAAAGATTTAAATACTGAAAATCTAATTAAAAGTGGTTTGGAAGATCAATCAGCTAAAGAAGTAGATAATGAAGACAATTTACTAAGAAAGAAAAGGTCCTTAAGCAATGATAATATTCAGACAGAAAAAAATAAAGATTCTGGGGATAATATAAGTATAAATGATGATAAAAACTTAAAGAATATTGAAGATTCGCAAGGCGATAAAACGAATTCAATTAATTCTGATGAAAATAAATCATCAAAACTTGATGAACATATTGAAAATTCAGAGGATAAGGATTCAAAAAAAGGAGTGGATATTAAAATTGATGATAGTTTGAAAGCACATCCAAATGTAAAGGAAATTGACTGTCAATCAAAATCTGAAGAAAATATTTCCGAAATCTTTTCGAAAAATGATAAAGAAAACCTCGATGATTTAACAAATAAAGGTGATCAGTTTGATGATCATTTGGACGATAACAATAAATGCAAAGAAACAAATAATTCTACTACGTTTTGTGGTGCTGAAAGTGTTAATAATTCCAAACAATTGGAAAATAGTGATGCAGAAAAGATTGATGATAATAATATTGAAATCAATATCAACAAAACAAATATCCCAGAAAAGCAAAATGAAAATCCGGTTAATAAATCTAATGTAATTTTGAAACGCGATGAGAGTGAAGTCGACGAAGAAACGTTTGTGAAGAAATCCGTCTCAAAACTTGGAGAAGACGAGGATGAGATCATTAACCAAATCAAAAACGATTTGGAAGATATGAAGAATTTAATCGAAAATGGAATGATTGATGAGGAAACGAAAGAAACTGAATCGTTGCATAATGATATTTATGAGAATGCTCCAACCAGGCCCGTAACGTCTGATATTTCTCCAACGGAAAATGTGCAAGTTGTAAAGGAAAATAATAGGAGGTCCGATGCAAATATTCCTTCAGAGCCAGTTAAGAATTTCGTTAAAATTCCGGAGAATAATTTGATTGGAAGTGACAAGAATCTTGCGGAAGCCGCAATCAAAATTCAAAGTACATTTAGAGGATATAAAGTAAGGAAAAATAAAGATGAACCTGTATCCAACGTTGGAGAAATCGCTGATAATAATAATAAAGAGGATCATAAGAATAAGAATGAAGTGATTAATGATGTTATCGCGAAGATTGAAGCGAAGCAGAAAGAGGAGTTGGAGAAGATTGCGAGTCCAAAGATCCAGAGTAATAATAAGAGCGTGGATGAGTACATCAACTCGCTGATTGAAGAGCAGCCGAAAGTTAAACCGAGTTTAGGGCAGTTCTTCCAAAATTTGGCTAAACCGACGATCAACAAAATCAATAACAAAGAACTAGAAGAGCCGAATTTGGATAAGTTGAAAGTGAAATCAGATGAGATAGAGAAGCAGGTGAAGTCGTCCATCGAAGATCTGGAAAATTTGAGCAAGGAGATCGAGAATGAAGAGAAGAAAGCCGAGCCGTTTTACCTTCACGAACCGAGCAAGAAGAAGCTGGACACTCCGATCTCGGCAGCGTTCCGAGCCTCGCCACAAGTTGGTAATTATTCGCCAACTAATATTCAGGTTGTAGTTCAGGATCAAAGGGGAAATTCGCCGACATCCGTTCAATCCATCCAAAGTCAGGACGGTTTGACCTTCCAGGCCAACGACGCTCCAGGTCAAGTATTTGTAATAATAGTAAGTGATCATCGCACTTGACGGCATAGTAGACACCTCGGATAAATATTTTTCAAATGCGTTAGTAAATGCGAGGAAGGCAATTATCCGAGGCGTATCAGCAAATGCAAAAACACGAAAGTATAAACAAATACAACGCCGGACCGATTGAAAGATATTCACGTATACGATTTTAATTTTTTTATTTTTTCTTTTCTTCTCAACTTTTGAATCCTCGCTCCCGCCGGGTTCTTTCTCACTCTTTTTTTTTTGCCGATTTTCTGGCAACGGAAACGGTGTTCTATTTAAATTACGCGATCCTTTACAACAAAAACCGGGGAGTGAAGGTACACTTTTGCGTTTATAAATAAGCACTTCGAATTTTTTATTCCTTTCCGAAAAGACACACACATACACACACACACACTCACTGAGATACACGGAAAAACGGGGCCGTGGATAGTTACGATGATGGATGCAAAGTTGGACCAGGTTGCGTCATCGCAATTATTTTTGCCAAAAAATATATATACTTAACATAAGCCTCTTTTTTTTATATAACTCAGTTCTTCTTTGTCCCGAAACTACGCGAGTAACTTAATATAGAGTGATGGATAATCATTCATGTACTCCAATCTCCACTTGACAAGATAAGTGAAATATTTCATTTATAACACTACTTTTGAATAAATACAAGTAACGAAAATAAGTTAGATATAATGAAACTAAAATTTTAGAAAGCTTTAATGTCTACTAATATTGAGATTGAAACGAAATTTAAAATACTGTAGTACACTTAAAACACTGAATTGTCTAGTTATGAAATCTATAGAAAACAATCATGTTTAATATTAAGTAAGTTTTTTTTCATAAGAAATAACAAAATAATAGGAATTTCCGTATATTAAAACAATTGTTTTTATATAAGATACAATATTTAATAATTCAATTGATTTATAATAAAAAAAATACTTTAAATCTTTCAAGTACATCAATACTTCGCATAGTCCCGTATCGATTAGTCCGGATTTACTATAGTCAAATTTTAAAATTTCAAAATAAACTAAATTGATCAAAATAAAAATTAGTAGAAAAAAATTATTTGTATACATACATTTCTTCGATTGGTCCGGTCCAGGATATTGGCGGTAGCGATTTCTCGCATTATACGAGGTATTGTTACAATTTCATGTTTATTATATTCTGTAAAGACCAATATCAATTGCAATGATTATTGCATAATGTAGTCAGTAAAAATTGTTATGCAAGTTTTCAAGCAAATGATAATATTGATCAAATAATGTTTGAGTTTTTTGCGTTGTAAAGTTATATTTTACTTTACAAAAAAGTTACACAAACAACTTTCTCCAAATTTGCTTTTAGTTTTATGCTTCAATATCAGAATATAAATTATTACTAACACACACACAAAAAATCGTTAAGTTATAAAATGCATTTCGTTAAAGTATTAACGAATTAATATGCAATTTTATATTACATGATATCTTTGTTACATCTTTTTTTTTAATATTTAACATTTTATACGTAAGAAAACGTAAATGCTAATAGAATTGTTAAAGTGGTTTCAAGTAAATTTTATGCAAAAATAACAGTAAAAATAGAAGATATTATCATTAATACCAAGTTTTTTTTTAATAAAACCTATTATATTATTATATAGGATATTTGATTTCATGTACTTCAGATAATGAATTCGATTTGAAGGTGGATTTGCGTGTACAATAAACAGATCGAAAGTATTTTTAAGAGTAAGGTAAACTCACGATGGTAACGTCCGTCAGAAACGTTTACGTTTCGGAAATTAAACACAACAGAAATACAGAAAAAAATAGAAAATAGAAGAAATCAGATTATTTCACGTTTGAACGTCAATCGAGGCACTTGGCACGCTGCTTCTATTTTTTATACTCTGCACCAAAATTATTATTGTAATGTTTATACATCTATCGCTGCGTTATTGATTTCCCTATAAAATATACGAGTTATTGACGTGATTGGAAAGATGTAAATAGATATACTTTCCTCATAACGTTTTAAATTGCTTCATACAAATGTCGTTGATCATATTTTTGTGAACATATTTCAAAAACTTTCACATTGGTTTTTAAGTAATTGAAAATTATCATTGTTTAATAAACTTTTACTGATCATTTAAATGAATTTAAATAATTGCAAAATACTAACTATTAATTGGCGTTATATGAAGGTTTACTGTAGTGCAGTTTTAAAAAAGAATAGAAATATGCATTGACAATTATATAAGTAAAATTTTATTTACAAATTCATTGAAGAAACATTATAACTTTAGAAGAAAAAAGTAAAGAAATATCTTATTCTCAACTTATATTTCTAAATGACAGCTGTCACCTTGTGTCAAAACGTCAATAATTTTATATTGTGAATAATTGGGACAAAACGGTTGAATGAGTCATAAAAATTAAGACAAAAAAAAAATATTTATGAAAAAAATGGATTTAATAATTTAAGACAAAATTATTTTCGTTTATTTAAATTTAATATTACCAATAGATTTTCTTTTTAACAGCATGTAAATCAGCGTTTCTCAACCTTTTCGCCGCACTATCTAACGTATTTGTTTGTAGTTGTGGCCAATTGCTAAAAGTATTTCACATCTTCCTTGCTTTGACAAATGGCTGTCATTTCGCGACCCATTAAAAATTTAACGCGACCCAATATTGAGAAACGTTAATATTAGTCAATTTATCTTAAATATTTATAATTAAAATGTTACAATAATACTTCAATTGTATATTTTTCTTTTATAAGAAATTACATTTTTTTTACTTATAAAATTATATATAGTTTGGGAAACATTTATTTAATATATTATCACTATTAATTCTATTATTGGATATAGTTGAAAATCCCATATAAATATTCAAAATGAAAATCGAGGATGTTAATAAAAATATTATTACTCTAAAACGTGTTTATACTAATTAAGATTGAAGTCGTTAAATAAGTATATGTATACTCATTTTGTATTATACTGCTTTGTTTACGCTACAAATGTTTCTATTCTAAAATTTAAAAAAAACAACAAACAAGTAAATATGTTTGTCACGAACGTTTCTGAAAATAAAGAGAATTGACAATGACAATGAAAATGGGAAACAAACTGTAAATGCATCATATCTTCTGTAACATACGGAATCAGCATTCCAAGGCAATCTCATCCTCACACTCATCCTCACACACCTCTTCGGCAATTGTTGTTATCATGTTGTTACTTTTGATAATGTCTCTTTACATCGTTGTCGCTTTCTGATTATGGTGTTATTTATGTGTTTTACATAGCAGGTGCTAAGGCAGTGACGTCGGACATCATCATCAGCGGTGATGGAAGTGGCGCGGACGTCGCGCAAGCGTCAGATAAAGCCGCCTCAGCGCCTTCTGCTGCAGATAACGAAGCAGCAGGATCAAAAGCGACGGCAGCAGCAGCAGGCAGTGACTGCGGCTCAGTACAACAAGAATCTCCACCTGAAATGGACGGTAAACGCAACAACGCTACAATCACCGAGAAGAACATGGAATCGGCGGCCGCTACCAAGATTCAAGCCAGCTTCCGCGGCTACCAAGTTAGAAAACAACTCAAAACTAAGGTAAGAATAACACACAAACCAATAAAATTATCAAATATTGAAAACATTATTCCATAAACAAAGACTTAACTATGGTGACAATTCAATTGAAAAAAAATATAACTTAATAATAAGTGTAGTCTATTCGCTATGATAATTCAAACATTCATTTGTTTCTTGTATTTATAATTGCACAATAAGTTTAGCATTAATACATAAAATTTATACAATTGATTAGTCGTTGTTTTTTTTTACACATTTCCCTTAAAATATTTTAATCATAAATATATAAACAATACCTTGCACAGTTCTTAGTGAATAGCACTGTTTGAAACCGGTTTTTGTTTTTATTTTGCTCAATTAAAATTTAGTTTGTTTTGAAATTTCAAACCGGACTATAATGATCGAAACCGCACTATTGCAGCAGTATTAACATAATTAATCAATTATATATTGATTGTATTGTCCAACTAACCAATACTTAAAACAACTGTGACAACACACTTTACAATTTATTCCATTGATGATTTGAATCATTTCTCGTTCATGACATATACTTGCATTAAACTTCTGCAATATATTTAAAATATTAAAATCTACTACCATTATTTGTTTTTATTAAAGTTTCTTAATTATTACATTTTCTTCAAAGATAACATTTTAGAATAAACGAATTACAATTAAAACAAATATTATATTAATTGTAATTTGTATTAGTAGTTTCAATAAGTTGGCAAACAATGATGTTCTATATACTTTAGTTTTAAATGATGTAAAATAATTATTATATAATTATCATAATGATTATTGTAATTATTTATCAATAGAACAACTAGTCTTTTTACAAACAGTTTTTTTTTGCAATTATTACTTAAAATAGATTTAATTCAAATTATAATATTTTTAATTGAAGAGAAATCAATTTAAAAAAATAAATTTCCGTCCTCAAAAATAAATTATTATTACGTTTATTAATAAATTTAAGAAAGAAATAAAATGATATAATTATACAATAAATGAAAAAGTTGATAACAAAACATGTAAATATTTTAGTTCTCAGTGAAGTAAAATAATTAATTCATTGTTGCTTTATTTATTAATGAATCCACTCTAAGATATTAGTAGAAATATATCGATTTATGTCAATAACATTTATTACTAACTTTTCAAATTCTATGAATTGATATTAAAATAATAAACAAGAAAAAAAATGTAATTTTACTCTAAATACAAAAGCAGATAACCAATGTTAAATGTTAATTAATTATTTGTACATTTCATCCTTAAGTGAAATACAAAAAAAATGCAATAATTATACTATTATATAATATTATCATCAAACTCATATTGCAATATGAATAAAAGATGTAATTGCAAATGTTTGCTGTACAATAAAATCACAATTGTCTTACTTGATATTTTCCTCTTTTTGCAGTAATCTGCAACCCAAAGCCATTTTAAATAAAAGTAGAACACAAGCAAAAGTATAATATAATCTCCGTTTTTTTCCAGATTAAATTAATCCAACACGTTTTGCACTATTTACTTTTCAGCATAAAACAAAACGTAATGGCATTGAATTCGTGTAAACATCTTTATATTTATGGTTAGCATGTCACTTTGGTTCTGTTGATGATTTATTCATAATGACATTTACAATATTTTTAATGCTAAAATACCGCAATCATGTGTTTATTTGTTGTTGTTGTTTTTTTTAATTAAACGAGTTTTGTGCTAGGAGATTTGAAAGTACTTCCATAACCAGATATTTGTTGCATAAGATCACCAGCAAATCCTTGTTTGGGTATAACGTACAGAATTGATGTCAAGTTGTTATTAATACGTTTTAAATAGGCAATCAATTTAATGTAAACTCTATTTTGTAGTAATTACAAAAAAAATAACTCAAACTTTTAATAGAGTAATTATTAATATATAAGAAACTCTGGAGTATTTCACTGTCAGATTCTGCGACTTGTCATTCTTAAAATATCTAAAAAAAACTATGTACATTTTATTGTATTAGATTAGTCCGGTTTTATACAATCAATGACTTTAGCAGATAGTATGATGATAAAATAACTAGTAAATATTGAATTTTTTGAAGCAATTGTGTAATTGAAATTTTCTTTAATTATTTATTAATAATTTAATTTATTAAGTAATTATTATAATTACATTATTTATATAATTCTGAGCAATTATTTCCATTTTATTAAATTATCTATATAAATACATCAATACTTCGCATAGTGCAGCTTCGATCAGTGCGGATTCACTTCAAACAAACGAAATTTTAAATGAGCAAAATAAAAACAAATTTAAACATTTTTTTTATTGATACAATCATATTTTTTGTTCTGCTTTAAAATTCTTAACTAGTGGGGAATATTGGCGATACCGATTACCCGCAATGTGCGAGGTATTGCTGTAAAAGTGTTTTTGATTCTTCAAATTTTGAATTCTCATTTAAAATTAGCGAATATAAAAAGTGTCTTTTATAGTAGATTATTTCGGTCTGCACATTGGAACAAACTTGAAATGTAGAAAATATATAAAGAGTTTTGCTTTACAAATATTTATAGAGAAAATCCGTTCCAGCGGCAGCAGTAGCTGCCTTATATAATTGAAAGTTTAATGTTTGTTTACTGGTTTCCGGTGGCGGCTGACGGCAATGATTAGTACAGAAACACATCTAACATTTCTTTTTTAAACACGCACGCATATATATCGAGAGACACACGTGTCAAATGTGAATTGCCCTTTCCCAACTTTGCAACTGTACATCTATATTTTGCGTGTAAATAAACATTGTTTATTTCAGTTTAACTATTCCAACCTATCAATATTAAAAAATAACAGCTTTACATTTAGAATATGCATATTAAATTTAAATTAGTATTTTTGTTTTTGTATTTGTTAATTTTTTATAAAAAAAAAACTATAATTTATTGTTTCATTCCTATAGTAAACATATGTATATGACAAAATTAAAATAATACAGTCAATCCTACTCTAACACGAATGATTCATACGGAAACAAGCTCAGAATTAATAAAATCAGATTAATTCGTACCGCGTTTTATGGAAAAAATTAAAATTAAGACCCCTTTTCACATTTTTTAATTTAAATCTGTCAATCCATTACTTATGTATATCTATCAACTAATGCAATGCCATCAATTCCTCTTCATCTAAACCAGTGGTTCCCAAACTTATTTGGCTTACCGCCCCCTTTCCAGAAAATATATTATTCAGCGCCCCATGGAATTTCTTTTTAATTTAATAGCAATAAAACAGAAAGTTTATGTATGTATTAATGTTTCTACCGCCCCCCACTGGATCGCTGCAGCAGCCATCTTGGGGCGATAGCGCCCACTTTGGGAATCACTGATCAAAACTTTATCCTTTTTCCGTAATAGCTACTAAGCTAATTAAGTTGGAATATATAGAAACAACGTTATAAGAGACGCGGCATAGGAGAGATATCACAATTTTGATCCACGTTATATAATTTAAAAAATCTAATATAACAATTATTAAAAATGTCTAATCGAAAAGACTAAAAAGATATAAAAAGTTATATGTAATTTATATTACTGTGTATTTATAATAAACATTTTAATATGAAAAATATTATAAATTGAAGAAATAGAAGTTGAAATATGTTTACTCTTTAAGTATATGAATGATTCAAAAGTCGTTTCGTAATTATCAATAGATTGGCGTTTCTTCAGATGTCATGTTTTGTTATATCGAAAAATTGCTGAAATATACTTTGGAATTGGGTCGCTGAAACTACAAACAAAATATCGATCTTATAAACGATATTTGAACAATTTTAAACGCGAACAAAAAAATGATCGGTTTTAAAACTTGAACAGAAGCGATTTCTATGATATTTCTACTTCAATTTAATAACAGTGACATTAGATTGGTGTTTTGAAGGAATGACCAAGTTCCGCAGATAAATGGAAAAAATTGTTTTGGGGTTTCAAAGATGACTACATCTTACACTTCTATACTTAATACAATTCTTAACACTCTCACTTAAACTACTTAACGAATAATGATCTTCTCCATGCTTAACTCCTCCGAGCGTTCCTCGATAACTTCATGGTGTACATTCTTGCCACTTTTCATAACCACCCAACAGTGGTTATGAAATAATCAAATAATTGATTTTCTAATTAATTAATCGACAGGACGTAGCTAAATGATAGAGATTCTTCCTAGAGGGAAGAAATAGTAGGAATAAAAAAAATAATTAAGAAGATTAATTACCTTCGAACGATTTAAAATATCTTGAAACTCTAACAAAGAAATTGAGGAAACTGCTGATTTGAAACTGGAAAACACTAAAATTTAAGACATTAAAACTGGTTTTTCAATTAATGAATACTGCAGCTAAATATATATATAAATGTTGTACCCAACACATTTAAAAAAGTATAAATCTCGAAGCGCAATAATTTTTTGTAAGCGAAAAAAAAAACAGACACGCACGCACAGAATGAAAAGTATAAATGGAATGCGCTTTTATCTGAAAATCTAATAACCAATGCCAATTTTTGCAACTCCTTCAAAAATAAATATTTCAAATATACCTACGACATGGGAAAAGGTAAAATGTAATAAAATAAATGAACAAGAACAGAATGAAGGAAGAAAGACACATTTCATTAGCCACGTTTGTTGGCACACGTGTATTCCATATTCATAATTCTGAAAAATCATCTGACGAACAGATCTACGTCTCTAAATTCAATAGAAAATTGAATTAATGAATTAGTTTCTACAATTAAAATTTTCAGTAAATCGATTTTTATACCAACTTATGTAATTAGTTAAAGCTTTGACTATTTTACTTGATAAACATTTCTTATATAAGTCTAAATCTCTAAGATTTGACAATTGATGTAATGTCAAGTCTGATTTAGCTGAGCGTAGGTGTATGAGATGAAAAGGATGTTTGATCTGCTTGTCAAATAAAAATAGATAAATTATGTGTTCGATTTCGC